GGCACGTGCAACATGCGTCTCATATCCTGCGTCATTTGTCGCGCTTTCCTCGCACGCAAAGCCTCGACGTGGAGGTTTGCAAAGATTCGGTGGGGGAAGCACTGGGTCACGAGCGTGAGCGTTTCCGAAGGGCTTGTCTCACAAGTCCCATTCGAAGGTTTCACAGCGGCCCGCCTCGAGAAGCACTGGGTCGAGCAATCTGGTCGCGAGCGTACCACGGCGTCGTTATTGACCATGTGCTCGGGCGGAAAGTACATCCGGAAATGGCCAGAGCAATAACATATAATGTTACAAGTGTTGGACACCAGGGGTGGTGTGGAGTGGCCCAGGTCCCACAGGGGCGCGAAGAAGATCGCGCGTCGCGCCTCGCGGCCTCGGCCAAAAATGTGCCCTTTTCCGGAGCCGCGGCGCGAGGGCGCGAAGGTCGAAGTTAGGTGACCTCGGTGGCTCACGGGGGGCCACGTTGGTTGGCACGCTGAGAGACCCGAGGCCTTCGAAAAAGGGCGGTGAACGTCCAACGACATCGATATTCGATCCTCGGCCACTCGTCCTCCTGCCTCCGCCTGACCCCGTCACGTGCGCACACTCGGGGGAGCTGCGCAGGGGCGCTGAAGAACCCCCGTCCCGGGAAATCCAGCCGGCGGCATCGTCGCAGCCATCGCGTCCGAGTAAGACGAGCCAGGCGCAGCTTGCGCTTGGAAGGTTCCCGTGGGCCGAGTGGCGAAAGCGTCAGGCATAGGCCTCGGAGGCGCCACAGAGCGGACAGAATCAGAGTGTCCTTGGCTCCCGCGCGGGTTTGGGGTGTCGGGGCCCTTCGGAAGGGCTTGCCCGCCTTGGGAACACCACTTGCCCGAGGGCGATCCTTGCCCACCACGACCAAAATCCCTTCAAGCCCGGTCCCCAGACCCGACCCATCAAGGGGTTCATCTTGGCCAGCGTTTCGAGCTGCGTCTGGCCGTTGCGACGGGCCCCCGAGAGCCAGAACACGATCAAAACGAGCGGAGCTCGACCACACCCTCCCTGCCGTTGGGACATTCTGGAGATGGGGGGCTTACGTTGCATCTTCGGAGGGCATTGCGTGTCCCCAAAATTGCTGTCTTCTCTGGTGCCCTACGCGGGCTCGATGCGGACTCGACGCGGACTTGGCGTGGATTCGACGCGGAGCCGACACGGAGTCGACACTGATCCGACGAGTCCGACATGGATTCGACACGGAATCGACGCGGGTAGGGGCGTGACGGGCCAGACAAGGTCCCCCGAAGATGCAACACAAGGGGCCGGGGCGAACGACCCCCCAGGAGCAGCAGTCGTGACTTGCTTGGCCGCTGGGGTCAGGTGCGCGGCAGCCCGCCGGCAGCCGCGCGATCCGCAGGATCGCCACGTGCTCTCTCCCGGAGCCCGGGCCCAGGCGACTACAACAACAAGCTGAGCACGATGCACACGGGCCTGCACAACCTTTGGCAGATCTCCGAGCTGATGCTGCCGCACATGAGCAAGGGGGCTTCCGCTCGGCGCGCCGTAACGTCGGGGGGGGGGGGAGGGGGCGGGGGAGCCATGGGCCGCGGTGTTCGGAAGCTCGAACTACACCGCCAACTATGCCGTCAAAGCGTCGGGATCAGGACGAGCTCGGGTCCTTCTGGGTCCTTCGATGTTTTCCTTTGGTGCCCCTTGCGGATCTAGGCGCAAGTGGGGTCCAAAAGGGGCTTCGTTGCATCTCCGATGCTCCTCATGGGAACACTTTGACTGTACGACGTCCTCAAGGGGGGGGGGGCGAGGAGGGGCTTACGAAAACTCTTGCTCGCGGGCCCACGAGCTGCCGTGCGCGCTCGTCGGCCTCTTCGAGACGAAGATGACTCATCTCAGATGAGTGACGCTCGGCAGGAAGCTGTTCTTTTTGCGGTCGGCTCGGGCTCGAGAGGGATGCGCGAGTCCCTGCCTCGAACGGCCACGCCACCCTCCCCTCATGCACCCGTGCCGTGGCGCAGAGCCGCCACCAGCTTACGCGCCGCGGCGCGGGCTGGACCTGCACGCGGCGCACGGCGTCGGCAGCGTCGTGCGCTGCCCGCGTGCGCCTGGAGCGCACGCAATGCGCGCCCCCCGCCCTCCAAATGCTCATGGCGAGGGCTCGTCTCCACTACTCCTCGGCTGCCTCCTCCTCATCCTCCTCCTCCGTAGCCATTTTGGCTCAGGTTCGAAACGTGTGGCCCTGGCGCTTCGAACTTGGACGCTGCCGAGGGGTGGCGCAAGCGTCCCATCCGAGGTTAGGCATCTCTCTTTCTCTCTCTCTCTCGCTCCCTTTCTCTCTCTAGCCGTGCGCCAAAGCAAGCTTTGTTTCGGCATTTTGCCACCGCCCCTTCACAACTTTCCCAGCAAGGTGCATGTTTGGCAACGGTTGCTGATATTCAGGCACTGCTCTCAGGACATCAAAGCACCATCTCGGCGGACATCGCAGGGGTCAAGGCGATGCTTACGAGTGAGGTACAGGCCATCAACGGGAAAATAGCCGAGTCCACGCAGCAGCAGGTGATTCTCAACCAGAAGACCGATACGCACACAGCACAAGAAACGACCTTGCAGGGCCAGTACGCGGCCATGTCTCGTCCGACGTCGGAGGCCAGAACGGCAGTCGGCATGGCGGGAGCTAAGCGGCCAAGGACTTCTGGAGACAGCAGCAACGGCGTAGCGGAGACCGACGTTTGCGTGCGCTGGGTGGGCACGTGGCTTCGCCCTGTACTCGCAGTGCGTGACGAGTTCCACAAGCAATTGCTCACACGTTTCACATCATTTGCTGGCACAACCGTTGCGTGCCACAAGGTTGCCCAATCGTACAAGCCAAGACCTTCACCAAGAAGGCGAGCGAGGCCAAGTTGTCGTGGACCGACCCGCGCAACAACAAGGAGGCCTTCATCCGAGGCGGCCTTCCGCTCGACGTCCGCGCCAAGCAGAGGACTTGCGGCAACATCTACACCGAGGTGCGCACCGCCATCTCCAAGTCAAGCAAGTGGGACGGCTACGTTCGCTTGGGGGCGAATGGCCTCAAAGGGATGGTGCTCGTATCGACTCCAGACGATGTGTGGTGGATCATAGCAGTCAAAGCCGAGGGCCTCGACAAGTTCAGGTTTGAGCCAGGCGACGACGCCATCAGAGAAAGGGGCATCGAGCCGAAGGAAGTCCACGACATCATCACGGCAGTGACGGAGATGGGCGTGGACATCTGACACCTTCCGAAGGGGCAGTACCAGATGGCGCCTGAGGCGCCGCCATTGGCAGAGCATCACTTGGATGTACTTGCCCGACCTCGTCGGCGTCATAGGGCTCGTGCTGCTGCTCCTATCCCTCCTGGTGGTCCTCCTGGTCCTGGAGGGCCCCACCGAGTGAAGCCATTTTTGCCGTCTGCTGGCCGCTTGTTCAGCATGGCAACGTGGAATGCTCCATGTCTGTAAACAGTCTCGTCCAGAAGCCAAGCTTGATTTCGGGGTAATCCGCTTTTCTTGTTTATATATAAATACATATATCATTTTTCAAACAGAGAGAGAGAGAGAGAGAGAGAGAGAACAAACAACAACGGCTTCCTGCGCTCAGGAATCTCATTAGTCCGAAAGGGGACCTTGGAACTCTCCGTCGGGAGCTTCCGCACCACAAGGCTTTCGGGACGTTCTGTACCTCTTCTGCTGCAGGAGGTAATGTAATCGTAGTGCAGCGGTCTCTCCTCTCCCTCCTCCCCTCTGTTGCCTTCCATGTCATCGAAGATGGTCGGATTGCCGTGCTTACCTTGTGAAATCGTAACGAGTGTGTGCAGGTGATGAGCATCCATGTCGATCCAGATTGGACTGAAGCGTATGGTAGGACCAAGTTCGTCGCTATCCGTGCGAGGATCCTCACCTCTCAGTGCGCTACGGTCTTCATCGCAGGTGGTTTCAATTATTATGAGCAAGCTGAGACCAGGTTCTCGGCTGCCCTCGGGATGGAGCGTCTCCAACACATTTTTTTGAGGTTAGTCAGTTTCACTACACAGATAGAGCAATAGTCAAAACAACACTACCTTTGGCAGGTTGGATCGCATATACAGTAATACCCCCGCAAGCACCATCCTCGATCTCCCCCCTTAGAGTTCGACGGCCTAGGACATCGCTGACGTTCGGAAGCCTTCTGACCACGCGCCGGTTTTCTCGGGCATCCGCGCGCTGTCGAGGCAACGATCGATGTCCTGCCCGCGCCGGCATTGCTCTTGAAGCATCGCAGGTTTCACTAGTTTTTCAGAGGAAGCGTACGGGGCCAACGCCGCGCTCCTGTCCGCTCCCCCCCCTTACGAAGCTCCTGGAAATAAAGGACCCCCTCAAGTTCTCTGCTTGGCAAGCGCGTCAGTTTGTGGATCTCGAGGGGGCCGACTCCCATGCTTCCAAGGCCAGCTGTTGCTTGAGGCGCCTGAGGGCTCTCCGCACTGGCTCCCCCTTCACAGCGCATCCAGGGCTTTAAAGGAGCTCCCGAGGCCCAATGATTTCTTTTCCGTGAACGAGGGTGTCTGGACGAATTGGGATGGGGTTCCACCAGTTGCTTGAGGAATTGCTGAAGGCCCAGCTTGAGGAGGAGGAGACGTTGCTCCTGAGTCACGCACACCTTCCAGTCGGCGCCAGAGAGTCTCACGCGAATCGAGTGCGCAGGATGTCCGCTACGTGGTCTGCCACGCGGCCTCTGTTTTTCTGGTGGACGTTCGTGACGGGGGCGGCGCTGCGCATGCTGACCCGTTCGCTGCAGCCCAAATTATTGCAGATTCTTAGCTGTTTTTTGTTCGAGGATCCCCATCTACCTCCCGCCCCTATCACTGCCCCCTGCCTCGCGCATGTTCAGAAGCGTCCTGTCCCAGGAGCACAGCGTGAAAGCTCCATTCAATCAGTGGTTTGACTGGCGCGTTGAATTCGGTGTCGTGCGCGATTTTATCCGCCGCAAGAGAGACTCCGCGGCTGGCGGGGGCGGTCTAGCATATGGTGCCTGGCGTGCTGTGCTGGCGGGGCACCTGCCTTTGAAGCGATCTTCGACGTGTATGAGCATCTCCTAGATGGTGGATCCATGTCGGACAATTTCAATTACTCAATAGGCGTGTTCCCCCCGAGAGGTGATCTCGAAAACGGTGACTCGGAGACTCGTCATTATTCAAAAACTCGTATGCTCTCGCTTTGCAACACGGAGAATAAGGTTATATCGGCTATGGTGGCTCTCCCTTTTATCGGCTGTTGCTCAGGATACAGCGGCAGGCTGTCAGCGCGGCTTCGTTCGCGGTCGGAAGTTCATCGGCAATGTAGCGGGGCACGACGCCCACCTTTTCGGGCGGGGCCGCGCGCTCGGATTGCCAGAGTCAGGCGGCGCATTGTTCGATGTCAAAAATGCCTCCCCCTCCGTCCTCCACTCCTGGATCTTCCTCTTGCTAACGCTGATGGATGTTCCCCCGTGCATAGTTAAAGCGATCGACACACGACATGGCAAGTCCTTCACAGGGATCACTGCGGGCCCTCGTTTGTAGGCGTTTTTTTCTTGCGCGAGAGGCATAGGGCAAGAATGCCCGCCATCTGGAGTACTATTCGCCCTCACCGCTGATCCGATCCTCCGAAAGATCCTCGCCCACCAGCTCCGGGTGGAATTCTGTCTGGCTGCATTCGCCTACGACCTCAGGATCGTCGCCAAGAATTTGCACAGTGCGCCGTCGCCCGCGGCTAGTGTTCTGGTGGGGAGTGTGCAGGGGTGCGGGCTTTTATTGAATCTCGAGAAGTGTGTGCTGGCGTTCCTCCAGATAGACAGCAAAGACGAAATTCGGGCCAGGATCAGGATCCCGGGGGTTCGGGTCGGCAAGTTCAGGAACGAGTCGGTTGCCAAGTATATTGGCGTCTAAGAGTTTGGTCGGGGGCGCGGGGGCGCGGAGGCCGAACTTCATTATCACTGGGAAAGTTCGCCATCGAGTTTACTTCCTTCTTATGTTGGGATAACAACATCAAGCGAAGCGAACACGTGTGCTCTTTCTCTCTTTTTCTTTGTGTTGCTTTCTGTTTCTCTCTTTCTCTCTGTCTCTCTCTCTCTCTGTCTTTCTTTTTCCTCCTCCCTCTGGCGCCCTGAACTTGTTTATCGCTGGGGGTGATTATCCGGGGAAAACTAAGCACATGAGCTACCCTACGCGAGCAGATGAAAATGTTAATTTTCATTAAGCGTTTACAAATTAAATATAATAAGTTTTCAACTTTGGATTTTTGCTTCTACCTCCTGCTCTGCTTCTCCTGCTCTTCCTCCTTCTCATCCTTCTCCCTCCTCTTCCCTTTCTTCTTTCTTTATATTTCTCTTTCTATTTCTTTTTCTTATTGTCTCCCTGGCCCCCTGAACTTGTTTATCGCTGGGGTTGGTTATCCTGGGAAAACTAAGCGCATGAGCTACCCCTACACGAGCAGATGAACATTTTAATTTCCATTAAGCGTTTACAAATTAAATATACTAAGTTTTGAACTTTGGATGTTTGCTTCCTCGTTCTTCTCTCCTCCTCTTGCTCTTTCTCCTTCTTCTCATCCTCTTCCTCCTCTTCCTCCTCTACCTCCTCTTCCTTTTCTTCTCTTTTTGATGAGGAGGATGTCTCAAGCGAAACAAGCAATTCGTTGAGGATGTCTCAACCGAGACAAATCATTGTTGAGGATGTCTCATAGAGGACCAAAGACCAAGGATCCTCAAGATATCTTTGGCTTTTTCCTCTTGATATCTCTTTATGCTAGCTCTGGCGGGCAACTTTTATTGTCCCCCCGAAAACCCCGAACTTTAATATCCCTTAGGGTTTATTGTCGGTCGGGGCATGGGGTTATCGTCGCCTACAACGCCTATGAGAGCCCTGTCGCAAGCCACATTGCGCAGTTTTTCAAGATTAGCTCCAAGATTTTGGACGCTGGGAGAGACGCGCCAGCTTCTGGCACGAGCTCTCCGGCATGCTATTCCCCTCTGGCAAATATGAATCTGAAGAAGTTCGGCATGCCTGTCGGGTGCAGATCTCTCAAGGTATCCTGTGCTGCTTCTATTGTTCGATCTGATCACCTCAGCCTTCTGTTCCATGCCATGGTCAATCTGACTGACCAACTCAGGGAGTCGGATGGTGCAGTCGTTGCCAGTCGGTATAGTCGTACGCATGCCTCGTCGGTCACAGAGCACATGATGCTAGTATTTCGTTCCCACTTCTCTCATCCATCGGTTGGTCTCGACTTCCCTCCATCGGCTCTTCAACCCAAACTGACAGCAGCTATTCGTGATATGTAACCTGCAGTTGCTTCACAAACTCTTCTACGTCAGCGTGCCTCGTACGGGACCTTGCCCATCATGAGGACCTCTCCTGAGCTCGACGCGATATTTTTCAATTGAATCGTGCAGGTGTTTCCCTTCCCCCCTCTGTGCTTATCAGTGTGTGTTTAAGACCCTCAGTCTTTAATGCTTGGCCGACGACGAGGCGATATAGAATGACTGTGTCTCTGTGTTTGTTTAGCTGTTGCTCCACCAACAATGAGGATAATCTGCTGCGCTCGTTGTGTCTGCTGCCTTGCTTTCATCCCCACCCTTCGGCGCCTCCTCCCCGCTCTTCCTCAAGATTGGGGCCATGATCCTTTGTGCTGCATCCTGCCGTGTAGATGGCCCCGGGGTAGTATCTCCCCAGGTGCCTGTGCCACTGCTGTCGATCTCACCTTTTCGGCGTACTCTTCGAAGAGGGCAGGCGCCCAGGCCTCTGCCGCCCACCTGGCAGCAGCGAGGCTGCGGGCTGCCGCTCGGCGCGGCGCGGCGCTGCGAAGGACGGCCCTCGGGGACTCGGGACCTCCCCTCTCCTCCCTCCTGACCGCGTGGCGTTCCTCCTCCTCCTCCTCCTCCTCCTCCTCCTCCTTTTCCTCTTCCTCTTCTTCCTCCTCCTCCGTAGCCATTTTGGCTCAAGATGCAGGGTTCCTCTGGGAACCAAGCGGATACCGCTAGTCCGCGGCAGGCAAGGCTTCTTGAAGCCTGGCATCGTCTCCTGGCCACCCTCCTCGCGCTCGGGTCGGTGGGTAAACGGAGGCCTTTCCCGTTCCTGTCGGCTCGAACGCATCCAGCTGCAGAGCCATGGCAGGAGCTGACGCTGGTGCAGCGCGTGACGCAGCTCAGGGGACGAGTTGGCGTTGCAACCGCTGCCACTACAAGAACCTGGGCTGGCGCGCGAAGTGTCGGCAAGCGGGGT